TCAATGCTCAGTCTAAGAAGGCTCAGATGGCTGGGTCACACCTGCAGAATAGAGGATGACAGAATCTCTAAGTACATCCTCTGTGATAAATTACAGATAGGCAGAAGATGTCGCATCAAATCTTAACAGCGATATAAAGATACATGCAAGTGGGACATGAATGATACATGTATTAAGGTGTGGTCGTGAAGCAAAATGCCATGGACCGTATTGCCTAGAGGAGATACATCCGGAAGGGAATATGATTTCGTTCGCGATTCGTAAACCAATAAAAAAAAATGCGACTGTAGGCTGATGTGTAGTTCAACTAAAAGACTACTAAATGAGGAGAACAATGAATGTGTCGTTTTCGCAAACTTTTTTTTTTAACAATCCAATCTAAGGAAGAGTTTGTAATAAGACTCGTATATTCAATTTCAATGTCTGTGTGTATGTGTAGAGAGAGGGAGAGAGAGAGAGAGAGAGAGAGAGAGAGAGAGAGAGAGAGAGAGAAGGAGAGAGAGACCTAACGAGAGAGAACGCGCAAGAGAGCGAGCAAGAATGTGTGCGCGTGTGTCTCTCTTCTCTTCATGAAGCCAAAGAACAGTGTTTGTCTATTTCTTATTGTTGTATGTAGAGATTTACTTTCTTTAGCTTCTTTCAAGCAATCGTTGTTAGTTACTCTGGCTGTCCAAGGTATTCGTAACATTCGTCTCAGAAACCACATCTCTGCTGCTTCAAAAGTCGTCTTAATTTGTTCACTTATATTATAAATATTCAATGAATATTTGTAACGCCCTAAAACCTACATAGTATGATGACGTTGTACACAAAAATGTCCAAACTTTGAATGTGTAGGATTTTGCCGAATAGTTTTACATCTTCAGGAATAAAATTGGTTGGCAATTTTGCTTACGTAAAACAAATATATGTATATATTGTTACACTTGCAGCCAAACAGCACGTTCATAGCTTCCGCCTATGTCCCGGAGTTACTAGCTGACGCCAGCGGTCTCAAGTTGTCATACAAAGTAAGTTTTACATCAGATATCATCATCAGTTTCAACACCACCAGCATCAACACTACCAACACTGCCATTGTAACCATCATAATAATCATCATCATCGTGTTTAAGGTATTTTGTGGAACGTCACGACTATCACCACCATTTGAAAATAAACAGAGGGCAGTAAACAATAAATATTTTGAAAGCTACAGTCTGGACACATCAGTATGTGAACCTGTCATCGCTTTCCAAAAACGACAATAACTCGTTCGGTACTAAGCAACTTACCATGCGTTTGGTCTCCCCCTTCTTCTTGTATCCTATGGTAACGCCGAGAGCGTTTCGGAGAGGAGTGAGTGAGTGAGTGACTTTATACCCCACTAGGACATCACACAAGCGATAAACACCCGATGACACAAAGTGCCACCATGTGGATGAGGATCACCGTGGAGAGGTCCCAGAAACCGCGTTCAGACATTTGGCCATTTTTATGACCTGCCTATATTGCGGCCCCTGGCAAAAGCCAGAGTGGGGCTTCAAATAACAAAAAAAATTCGTCCTGAAAAGGACGAAATTTGGTATTTCGGAGAGGAGTTAGTTGTAGTTTCATTTATGTTGTGTCACGAAAATTGGGAGTAGAGATAGGCACACTGAAACATGAGAGGCACACCAGACTGCGAGAAGTCTTGTTAGCCAGCATAGGACTGGCCCTATTAACCGCATGTTTTAATATCATATTGTGTTTCTATAGCGTCTTTTTTACTCACTTTACTCATCTCTTTCTGACCAGATGATCAAACCATTTTATTCTTTGATGTTCTAGGGAATCATTTACGAGTACATGTGTCAACCATTGTTCTTAGCTTTCTTTGGTGATTCTGTCTATTTTTGTTTTTCCCGCCTCATTTCTCAAACATCTCATTTCACATGTTGTATTTTAAATGACAATTTCACTATACTATTTATGATGTTTTTTCTGTTACGATCATTCTTTATATTCTATCAGCTCCTTCTGTCCCATATTTACATTTGTAAAGAACATTCTTACTGAATTTTTTTTTTTTTTTTTTTTTTTTTTTTTTTTTTTTTTTTTTTTTTTGGTAATATACACAAACTCGGATTTTTAGAGTACAAGAACAGTCATTTAGAACATGATTTAAATTGATTTGATTCAAGAACCGACAACACAGCACTCGGGGCATTCCCATAAGTGCTCCGTCCCCATTTTTACAGCAGAACATCTGGGAGGAAGGCGTGTGGAAGGACAAAGAAAGAGATCGATCAATCATATAGCTGAAACCCCCCCCCCCCCCCCCCCCCTCCCCCCCCCCCCCCCATCCCCAAATAAACAAATCCATCACGCAACAATCCGAGAAGCGCAAGACAAATACCGAAACCAGTGACACAGGGATTCATCATCATAATGTGGCAGGTCCTCTGCAGAACGTCGCTCTCATCACAGTCTGCCTGAAAGAAACACGGTCTCTCGTCAGCTCTCCCGCCTCATGCACTTTCACACTCAAGCTTCATCTAGCTCATATTGTAATTTCCTTTCAATTCTCTTTATGATAATTCGTAAGAGGATTTTGCTAGCACAACTTATTAATGCTATGGTACGGTAGTTGCAGCATAGTTTCAGATTTCCTTTCTTTGGGAGAGGGATATAGATTGTTCTTTTCCATGCTTTAGGCCAAATGCCACTGTTCCAGATCTTCGAAAGCACAGTGCATGTTAGATTCGGACGCTGGCCTCTCCTCCTGCTTGAATTAGTTCTGCTGGTATTTCATCGCAACCTGGTGACTTTCCTTTCTTCAGGCTGTGTATTGCTGATCGTATCTCATCCAGTAAAGGCTCTGGTTCTTTTTCACAACTTTCACGAGTTGTTTTTGAATTACTTGTCACATCTTCAGGCATTTCTCTACAGTATACTTTCCATCTTTCTAATATGTCTTTGGTTTTCGTTAATGTGTTACCGTTTTTATCACTTATTACATGAAAGACACTGGGATTACAACCTGGTAATAGTTAGACAATAACAGAAGAAGACGTTAGAGGACTGGAGAATCGCGAACGCTGTGTACTCAAGACTTGGCACTCAGAAGATAAAGCAGAAGGTAGAGGAGGAGGACAAAACAAAACAAAAAGAAGAAGAATGATGATGATGATGATGTTGAAAGAGATGATTATGATGACGATGAGGAAGATGCAGACAGGAAAAAGGGCGGTGCAAATGAAAATAATATAAGGATGAGAGGATGACAAATTAAAAGGAAAAGGTGAAGTGGAATTAGAAGAAGAAAGGATTAAAAATGAGAATGGAGCATACAGGTAAGAAGTGGGTTTTCTTGACATTCCACCAACATTTAAATGCACAGATTGAGCACGCAATGAGAATGAAATCGTTATTACATTTTTTTTTTCAGGCATACAATGCAAAAATGACAAGAGCAGGCACAGAAAAGATTCCGGCAGGGTTCCCTAATTATTCTTTAAACAAACTGTTCTTTATTGCTTTTGCACAGGTAAATACATCCGGTCAGCAGGTATTTATATTATTGCTTGTTTAAGTTTTAGACAGTCGATTACTGATGCATTGGATTAAGCGATCAGTTATAAAACCACTCAGTCTATTCATTCACTGATTCTTTCATTAATTCTCCCCTTATGCACACATACAGACGGACAGACAGACAGACAGACAGACAGACAGA